TATAATTTCTGTTTAAATTCATACTCATAATTTACCGTTTTCTGTTAAGGGAACTAATTTAAAATTTTAAAAATTATAGTTTAATTAGTCTATAAATAAATTAATAGGATTATTTTCAATTATATTCAATTACATATTTATTATTTATAGTATATTCATGTCACTGTTCCTAATGTATTTAAAAACTAAATAAAATTATGTAAAGTTCGTATTCATAAATCGCATTTAATATATACACTTGCATAATAACAATTGTAGTCCATTTACAATAGAAACTCATTTTAAAAAAAAACATAAAGAATGCATAAGAAATAAAAAATCAAATAAGGTTAAGTATATAAATAGGCATAAGACATAGATCTACATGCAAAAAGTTAATGATTATTTCATATATGCCAAGATAAAATAATTGATATTGATGCATTCGCTTATAAAAATGAGACAAGAAATCTGACTAATCATTATTGAAAGCTTTATATATTGCGTGAGAATATTATCATTACTGATAAATTTTTTCTCCATTAATTTCATTTTAAACATTTCGCAAATAGTAATCATTAAACATTAATAATATTTCTTACGAAAATTTTAGATCAATTTGTTCTATTGACAGCATAAAATTTTCCTATTTTTCTGAAATAAGATATTCAATTTTCGAGTCATTCTCAGTATTTGGAACAAAATATTCTGACGTATTCGTGTAATGTTTTATATTTAGTAATCGTTATATTGCATAATATTTCCAACATTCATCTATCGTCGTCATTCACTCTCAGAATATTAATGATTTGAGAAATATTCTTTCGAGTTGCATGAATCATAAATAGAATCATTTTTTCATGAATATTTTAGAATAGAATCATTCATTTATTTTTCATATTTCTCGCATCGTCACTCGTTTCTATACAAAGAAATCATATAAAATAATGTTATTTCAGGCTTTCTTATTTGAATGTTTTAGTCTTATTTTAAGTTCGATAATTTTTTACTAATTTTTTTTTTGATTTTAGGGAAAATTCTATTCATTATAAACATCAAAAAAACTATTTTTTAAATCCTCAGAACATTTTTCCGGAAGTTTTTATTTTAATAAAGTAAAAACTTCTGAAAAATGTTCTGAGAATTTAAAGAACCTCTGAAAAATTTTCTTTTAGTAGTAAAGTTGGTAGCTGGTTCGAGTCTCACCAAAGTTCTGGCCACGTGGAATTTTCCTGGTTTTCTTCACCTAAATACTAGACAGTTTCCCATAGAAAGTCTTCCCAGGAGGCATCCTCTTGGCACATCGCCCAAGGGTTGCCTTATTCCATTAATCGTACCATGTCATTTTTCATTATATTTTATATATCTTCGCATATTTTTATAATCTTCATCAAGAGACATGTCTCAACGATTGGGGAAAAATTATATTATCAAATTGGTATTGTTTTCTGAACCTGTTCGAATTATAAAAAAAAACTTTTAAAGTATATCTTTGTATAAAGTGATTAATATACGAGTATTTATCATTTGAGATCATTCCATTTGACATTATCTTATAGCAGAGACTAAATTTCATCTATATTAACATGGAATTTAATTTTTTGAAAAACTATCTAATAGGAAGATGAAACAAAATACAGTAAATATGAATTAAAATTATTGATATGTCGATTATTATATTGAGAAGTGGAATTAATTCCTCAACATCTCACTTTTTACATATTTCTGTATTTTCACCTTTTATTTTTGAAATTCATTAATTTATTACCGTGTTTAGCCACAAGTATGACGAGGGTAGCATAATGAATTACAAAAATTTTTCAAAGCTGTCGCTAAATTTTCATTCTCTTTATGAACTTTGAACTTTAATGTAAATAATTAATTTCATTGTTTTTCTGAATACAGTATTTCTAAATAATCATAAAATTTATAACAAATTTAGAACATAGAAGATATAAATTTAATTATAAATTTATATCAGATTAGAACAGTGAACAATTCATTTATAGTAATATCTAATTTCAAATAATAGTCGAAATTACAACTTGACTTTAATGTTAAAAGTATATCGATTACAATATCAAGTGTCTTCATTAAAATGCTTATGTAGTTTCCTAACAAATCCAATATATCTGTGATTTTTCTTCTGTTCTAGTTTGAAGAAAACAAAGTAAAATCACGAAGTTGAATTCTTAAATCTTATTGAAGTTTTCTAAAATTTTTGCATTACCAAAAATTTTGATGGACAGTTTAGAAATGTGATTTATGGTATGCTGATTTATTCATAACGATTAGATCAAATGTAGATTAAAATTATACAGTTCAGAATTTCTGAATCAATCTCTAAAACTTGTTATACTTACAGAAGTCAGAAATGACCAAAATTGTTTCAGCTAATTTTCGATCCTACTTTTTTGTTGACAGATAGAAATAGATAAAACTAGAAATTCGTGAGATAGAGTAGGAAATAAATTGTGTTGTACACAAAACTTTCTTTATTTTCTCACGTTTTCTGGAAAATATTTTGAATTTTTCGTTTTTCTTACTTGTCTATCAGTAACGTTTATTTTCCTGGCTATTATGTATAACAGAGAAAATGTGGCGATCGGTCAAAAAAATGACCACTTCAAAAATTTTTTACATTTTTGGGCTCGAGATCTTGAAACGTCGAGATATGCAAAAGGTTGGGAAGTTGGAGGTTTCTATTGGCTTACATATGGATGTTTGTATGCGTGGCACGATTTTGTTTACCCACTTTGAAGCTTAATAACTTCTGTGCCTTTTGTCGAAAATTTTTGAAATTTTTCACGGTACTCTTTGGATATTAGAGGATTGATGGTATTAAATTTTGATGGTTAAAGGCGAGGAGGTAAAAGATAGAGGGAGTCATGAGACATATTTCGAGTGGGGTCGGACTTAATGAAGAATTTACTCCTTGTTAGCATTTACAATTTTTTAAAATAAAACTGATCTCTATTCTCAAAATTAAGCTTTTTGCCATTTTATAATAAAAATTGTTTAAATCATAATCAACACACAATTTTAATTTTATTGCCAGAAAAATTATGCAACTCGTTCCTGGATTTTTTAAAAATGATGTTATGATTCCAAATAATATTTAGTATCTAATGAAACACATTTGATGTCTATTTTAGTACATTTTTCAGCCAAATAAGACATTTTTCATTCAGAAAACTTGATGTATTCTAGATAGGCTTCATAGTGTCCACGAATTATATTATATTGTATTAAGTTTACTCGTGAATTTTTGAAATACCAAACCACTATTATTTGATTTTACAGTTTAAAGTATCCTGCAAACGAAAAGTTTATGTTTCAATTTAAACAATCAGTGAGATTATACAAAATTATATAATTCCATTATAATTACTACTATATTTATCCTATATATTCATGTAAAGAACTGACGAAACACAGAATATAAGTAATGCGAACACACTTTTCATGCTATTAGTTTTAATTGATTCAATTTATGAAACAAAATATAATTTTATATTATTTTAGATTTCAACTTAAATAGTCCATTAAGAGATATAAAATTATTTGATATACTAAAATTAAGTGAAAAGATGTTATAAACTTTAATAATTCTAAAATTCGATTTAAAAGTAGAGTATCGAGTATGAAGAAATTGCCGAAATGAAAATAAAGCTTCAAATCTTTAATGCAACTCGTTCCTGGAATATGAAAAATCAAATGACCAAAATGAAATAAAATAATTAAAATGAATGCGAAATTAGAATATTAAAATCAAGTAAAATTGATTTCTGACGTTTTATAGGCATGAGTCTTTAATATAACTTAATATCATTTTAATATAGTTTTAGTTTTATATAAATGTATGAGCCTTTTTTTGTTGTCAGAAATGAAAGATTTTTCACAATGATAAGAATTATCTGCCATAGAGTAACTGATGAGATTCTAGAGAAAATTGTCTTTGTTTACGGATGATCTTATCAATTTTACTTTTATTGTTTATTTGTTTTGAAAAAGATAAAAAGTTTTGCACTTTTTTATCAACACAAATTGTAATAGTGTATATGAAATTTATTGCATTTACGACGTTTAAAAAAGTTTAAGACAGTTGTTTTTAATGGTGTCCTTAATATAAATATTGTGTAGACCAGTGTTTTTCAACCCTGTGGGTCGCGACCCCCCTGGGTGCCGCAAAGCCTTACACGGGGGGTCGCGGGTAAAAGAAAAAGACAAGTGTTTGTAGGTCCTACACTATAATAAAAAAAACTACAATCTCAGTGAGAAGGCTGTGCCTGTTTATTTTACAGTGCAGTTGGTTTTTTGATCGCTATTTAAGTCTCAACAGAAAGAAACTTAAATACGTAGTTTTTAAAATCACTGACATAGTTTTAATATGGCCCTGGGGGGTCGCCAGAATTTTTTAACTTGTAAAGGGGTCGCTTATTCAAGAAGGTTGAAAAACACTGGTGTAGACTTTTATTTTGTATTTTAAACAAATACTTTACCGAAGATAAATAAATTTAATTATTGTTCTTACTTCAAAATAATAATCAGTTCTAATCTAACTATAGTGTAGTATACAGTTTGTATATAATAAAGTATAAATTGTAATGCAGTAGAGTCTTTTTAGTCTATCACTCTCCAGTCCGACACGTCCAGTAATCCGCAGGGCGGCGCACATGACATTTTCCTGTTACTACTTGTCGATGTATTCGACAGAGAGAGACTGATAAACCTGTCAGTCGCTAGTTGTATGTTGCAAATGTGGTAGACGAAACGGTCATAATTATGGTTAATACGATAGATTAGCCTGTGAACCAAGTGCGTGTTTTAATGTACAGTACATACATATTAATATCAAAATTCAGTAATCCGTCATCCGCCGGTCCGATATATGTCGGATTACAGAGACTCTACTGTATACTGTCTACTGTATTCATGCGTAAAATTAAAGCAGAAATAGTTATATATATATATATATATATGTATATTGTAACCAATTTTGGAAATCAGTGTAATTATATGGCATGTATACTTTAGTCTTCATTTAATTTTATCTTAGTTAAGAAATTATTAAATTAAAATATTTCATATGTTATTTATGATTGCTAATGGGCTATTAATGTTTAAATGAACTCTAGTGTTCCGTCACTTGTGGTAATGGAACTCAGAGCCGCGTAGTCTTATGTTTGTCTTCGGAACAAGATACTTGGAAAATCATTCCAGATATTCATTGTGATTCTTTGAACAAACCAAAGACAGAGCAGCCCTGTCAGATCCAATTATGTACAGATGAATGGTACACTAGTGAATGGACAGAGGTATGATTTATTTCTATCGATTTAAAACGAAATATACATAACATATTATTAATATTTTAGTAGAAAACTATATTTGAAATTAATCTGAAATTCTTGAACTATACAGTGCTCTAAACCTTGTGACACGGGAGTACAGACGAGAGAAATAACGTGCATCAATAACGAACAATGTGTCAGTATGAATTGCGAAGAAAAAAATAAACCGCCAATTCGACAAGCATGCAACACAAATGAATGTCCCGAAGTCAAACAAGGTAGGATACATGAGTAATATACAGTATTTTTTAAATAAATTTTAAGCGTAATAAATATTTACCGTCGATTAAATAAATTTCTTGCTGTAAGCTTCATTTAAGATTTAGTTCCTTATATAAAAAAAGCCATTTGTCTTAGTAAATAAACAGAAAGTAAAGATCAAATAAGTGGAAGAATTGATCATCTTTGCTATTCCTGTATTTATATCCCGATAGAGCAGCCTGTCCATCAAGTGTTATCAAGAGATTTTGACCATTACTTGTTTATCCAAACATGTAATGGCAAAAATCTGCAGTCAGATCGATATAAGACTTTCCTTAACTTCTTGATAACTTTATAAATCAATTATCACAAAATTGTTTCCATTATGTCGTTAGTATATTAAATCTACATTTATTCGTTTTAATCATAGTGAATTAATTACAATATAAAGATAGGTTTTTGCTTTTATTAAAATCAATTCTTATCTGTGATTAAGAAACGTCAGAATATTTACGAAATTTCTATGTGGTGTTTTAGGAGCTAGAAATTTCAAATTTTTATTTGTTAAATTAAAAATTTCGTTAAAATTTGTTTTTGCAGATTTAGTAATATTGCATTTAAAAACAATATTTAATCTTTATTTGGTGTTTTTTAAGTATTTTTTCCATAAAATGTTCTGAATTTTAAGTTTTTAGTGATAAGGGTTAAATTATTTTTTAAAATATTTGATATTCGTACGACGTTATATTGAGGCGGAGCGTTAGCAAAGTCTCTTCTATGTGGCTTATAGAATTCAGTTCATTCTCAAAATTTGATCGGTCGACATTGATTAAACTTTGTCATTTTACATAATATAAGATGAGGAAATTAAGAATGTATAAAAATCGGAGTTAAACACATCGAAGACTGTGATTTCTGGTGGTGGAGCTATTTAAAGCTCCACCACCAGAAATCTTGTTTATCAGGAAAGTTTTGCAACTTTAACAGACTTCAGGGATCGTAATACACTACACGTGAGAAGCATTACTGCTACATACACTGTTCATTGCCTTCAAATGTTACACTTGAACATTGGGGTACACATCAGTAAACATTCTCTGCAGTAGAAATATTTTTCGTGCAACAAATAAATGCATTCTATTTGTGTTTTTGTTTTTTTATTTTAGTTTTTGCAAAAGTTTTTTTTTGCATTCTTTGTACAGTTTGTATACAAATTTTGGTGTCAATTTTCAAGATGGAAGTATTCGAATGCAAAAATTGAGAACTTTCCGAGAATTTAAGCTAGGTACTGTACTTCATATTAAAAGTTTTCACATGAGATCCGTATATAGTGGAATAGAGATGGATTAAGGCAAAGTAACATGTGGGCGATCTGCCAAAGAGGATGTGTCCTGGGAGGACTTTCAATGAAAAACTGGCCCCAGTTTACATGTTCACACGTGAAGAAAAATCCGGAAAATTCTACGTGGCCAATTGGTCAGGCGCAAACCTGGTATTAACTATGTGTTCAGTAGTTTTGTTCGCTCGACTCGTGTGATCCTTTTGAGTGAACAAATCAATTCGAGAATCAATTTGTGTCTCCCTCTGCTGTCGAAAATTCTAATCGCATTATATTAATACAATAATCAAATTATTCTGTGATTTGACTTCTCCAAAATTTTAATATGCTAATTATTTGTTAACTTCAATCTCTGTATTATAACAATATTAATCAACTTCTTCTCGAATATACCGTACTATGTAGTTACTAATCACTTCGTAAAAACTGGCAAATCTTACTTTTCAACGAAATATATTTGCTACATATTCTAGAGAGCAGCATTTGGTTCTTGAAAGTTCTAGATTCTTAAAAGCAATCGATTCTGCCTTTGAATAATTTCAACAAAGATTAATATTAATGAATACACTAGGCATGTATGTCCCTCGTCCATTCGTTTTTCTGAAAAGGTTCGAAATCGTTCCCAGAATGTAGTTTTGTCATGTCCTGCGGTGATCGTTATACATTGAGACTATTTTGTCTATAAGTAGAATTTTAATTTTCTGCTTCATTTAGGTTAAATTACGATCTTTGTACCCAAACACCTAGTCTGTTCCGCGTTAGATAGGATTCCTGTATACATTAAAATGTAATATAGAAAATCTCTCCGTTCCGAACTTTTTCTCCGATTAGGTAGGTTTTCGTTTAGATAAGAGCTTTTATTCACGATTTGAAAAAAGCGCCGAATACTGGTCGTAGATTCGTGCCTGATCAACGTTTCTGGAATTTCTTCGTGTATCTAGTATTTAAGTAGGGATCAATTTCTTTTAGAACGCTCTTCCGGAAGGTATTTCCGTGTTGCATTGCTGTATCCTATCAAACTAAACCAGACCGTCTTAAACAGGTTTTACTTTATGAATATAAATTGGTTACCAAAGCAATTTCTTCACATTATGCTAAATTTGTGATACAATACGAAAACACCTTTGTATTCACTTTTGCCACCTCCAATTATATACTCAACAAAAAAGAAAAAGAAAAGACAAACTTCGGTGAAATTATGATCTATTTCCTTTTCTCGACTCGAGAGAATAGAGTCAATAAAGTAGAAAATAGTGGTATAATTTTTAATTTTCGCATTCTTTCTGGACAACTTCGAAAACTGCTGGATTGCATTAAGTGAAATCTGAAATTACTTCAGAACTTTCTTAATCATTTCTTTCACTCATTCAAAAACAGCCAACCGCTGCCAATTGATTCCTTTTACATCCGTTTTCACAAGAAAATAATAAAAAGCCAAATGTAAGAATTTTTTCAAAGTCAACAATGTGGGAAATTTTTACATACCTTAAAATATCCAATCAATTTAACAGTGACCTTTTTCTAAATTAATTACGAATAGTGAACTAAACATTAAAAAAGTGAAAAATTTTCAATAATTTTAAATTGTAATAAAATGAATTCAGTTTTACACATTTATTTGTGTAAACAAATAAAAATTGCTTTTACTTTTTACATAAATAAATGCTTACATTATTTTTATTAAAAAATAAAAACCCACGGCACAACTACATCAATACTATAACCAGTTATTTTCAGTAAGTTGACTTATTTAAAACATCAATTACAGTGGTGCTTCGTACTTCGAATTTAATTCATTCTATGAGGTCGTTCGAACTCTAAACCATTCGAAGCCCGAATTAATTTTTTCCATAGAAATAGCGGAAAGCGAATTAATCCATTCCCAGATACTAAACAATACCCATTTCGATAAACTTAAAACAGCAAATATACATAATTTAAGGTTAAAATAACGCAATTATAATAACTTAAACCGTGGAAACAGTAAATAAAATATATAAATGCTGTATAATAGAATGAAAACTGCATTTACTGGTCGCACCTCGTCGAATTCGACATCTTTAACATGGCCGCCAATCTGCCACGTGTACCGCTTTCATGCTTCACGATATGTTCTTTTGCATCTCAATAGTCGATATTACAACCTTCCTCTTATACTTCGTTGCTTCCATACACTGCTCGGATGCCATAGTTAATAAGTAAAGGTTAAGTGAATGTTCGGGCAAGCTCCTGTCCACAATAATCGATTCGATTGCGGTTCAGATCGCTTTTCTTGAGATCAACTATATATCCCATAATATGCTGGTATCTAGCATCAACAAATCAAATCAATTCAAATTTAAATATTGATTTTTCAAATATTTTTTAAAAACGTTTTTAAGATATTCTTGGAATATTAATTATTTATTTTTAGAATAAAAGTAATTAATGGTAATATATAGCCTATTTTTATTTGAAATACTCCAATAATCAAATTTGTTAAATAAAATAAAAAACAAAAGTACTAAATCATGAGAAGCCCACAAATAAAACTTTTTAGAGAGAAATAGATTTAAAGTATATAATTTTGTAATTTACTTTTTACTTGTTTTTCTTTTCGAAATAAAATGATATTGACAAATACTATATCAAAAATACAAGTGAGTTTGAGTACAGAGAACATTGCATAGATTAATTTTTAACGTTTAAAACAAAATACAACTAATAATACATTTACTCAATTTGCGAAAGAATAAGCAGAAATAAATGTACTAAAGATACGCGTAATAATAATATCTACAGTAGAGCGTCGTTTATCCGAATCAATTGGGGAATGGGGTTGTTCGGATAACTTATTTTTCGGATAACCGATTATGTACGAAAAAACATATTAACCTATCCCGTGTTGAAATTTTTCTCCGTTGCGTGTCGCTTCGCGTTGAATTTTCGTCGATGTTAAGCCTAACGTAAACTTTTTAAAATAATAATCGTGGCTATTGTATCGTTAAAAATTATTTCTTTATNAGTGATTACATTTACGATAGATTTTTTTCCTTTTATGACAATACTTTATTAACAATGACAATCTTTTATTAAAAATTATTTCTAATTTAAATAAAAACATTTTTTTTTTCTTTTCTAATCTGTAGAAGTTAATAAGTAAATGAATACGTGCAGAATAATTTATAACTGTATTAGGTTAGAAAATCAAAGTTCTATATCGAATTAATCAAGAGATATTTAAACTCAGGAGAATATTTTAATCAGGGTGATGTTTCTTTGAAATTTATACAAATATGCATCAAATTATCGTAGGCTTTTTTACTACTACTATTATTATTTAATCTAGAGCAGTATTTTCCGAATGAGACGTTACGATTCTTACGAATTTCTGATCGTAAGTTATTGTTTTCAGTTGGATTCTTGATTTTATTATTTTATTTATTATTTCAAATTATTTATTATGGCCAAATTTCAAATATTTTCTTTACTCTTCAGTTTTTCTCTTCTCAACCTCTCAGGATTCATCCCAACAATATCTAAACATCTTTTCCCTGACATTGTTTTTGTCAACTTTATTATGGGCGTTCTATCGTTTTTTATTCTCCAAACATCGAGTTGAACTGATTTGCTTTCATATCATTCGTGATTAGCGGCTTATTGTATAAATTATACATTTCATAGTTATCATTTATTGGTTATCCTATCCATTACCGAGCCAAAACATTTGGAAATTATCTGGTTTTCAAACCTTTGTAATTTCTTTCTCCCTTCGTATATAGCTGCGTGTTTCAGATCAGCGCAGCACCAAAGGAAATACCATTGTCCTGTATGAACGAGAGAAAAACTGCAGGGTAAAGGGGCTGGAAGAAGAAGAATTATGTATTGTTTAAACATAAATAATGAGTAATTCTTTTAATTTTATAAAAAATAAATATTGTAATAATGTAAAATATTATTCGAAACGCAAAATGTTAATAATTTGAATTATTTTATTCAAGTTCCAGTTTTACAATTTTATCAATAGATTCAGTCTTGCGATACTAGTATTCGAAATATGTTGAAATTAATATATTGAAAAGAAAGAATTATTTTAATATGCAATAACTTTCATTCCGTGTGGAAGTGTGGTTTTAATATTAAGTAGGCAATAAATCATGTTGGGCGTGTATAGTGTTATTCGATGAGTAGAATTTTATGCCCGAATGATACGACGACAAGAATACTGTCACAACAAATCAATTGTTATTTTGAATATATGCGATATCATAATTTTTTTATTGCAATTGCGTATGTTGTCAGTGTTACCAGTAAAAATTAGAATTTATTAAATAAATCCGATGAATCAGAATGTACTGTACAGGCATCTTCTGTGGAAATAGTCTGTTTAGTATCACGTAACAAATTTTTAATTTAAAAATCTATGTTACTTGATACCACATAGAAACATTTTGAATAAATAATAGATGTACTTATTTATAATATCAATGAAAAGTCTCTACTTTTCCATCAGAAAAGTTCTTATTTAGTTTTTTTATTTTTCTATTCTAAAAATATTGGATTTCAATTTATGATGAGATCTGAATTCTACTTAAGCGCCATTTATAATGGATACGAAAGATATTTTCGATAAATATTGTTTATTTTATATTGATTAAGCATATTCGAAATATGAATAATATTAAGATTAGCACCAAAACTGAACAGATGATTAATGTAGAAATAGGAAACCATAATCACAGAAAGAAAAAGAAGAAAATATTTTAAAATGGTATTTGTGACAAACTCATTTTTAATAAAGATTTCAATTGGAAAGAAGTTTTGTTTTCCAGTACAGTTTCTTATGACGTATTATAAGTGTACTCAATTTATCACATAATTTTCTTAAACAATTGGCTAAATCCTTAATACGTTAATTATTTTAAAACCCTAATCTGTTATTAGAAACACTGCAAAAATTTTAATATTTTAAATGATTCTGTTTATAATTGGATGAAAGAATTTTTGAAACAAATTTTATAACAGTTTCTATTAAAGGAAAATTGTGAAACTATGTATCAAATTAAAATTACAAAGTTTAATAAGCTTAGGATATTATTTCATGAAAATGTTCCCGAATCACCGAGTGAATGAAACGCCTGAATACTGGTCGTGGGTTTGTGTCTCACCAACGAGCTGACCATTTGCAGTTTTATAGGTTTTATTTACGTGTCTATCACTTAAATAAGCCCCGGTTTCCTGTAGAATGCAAAGCCACGCACGAGCATATATTTATATTGTAATCATCTACTATAGCTAAATACTACGGGTATAATACAATGTAGGAACTCTGTATAGGTGTATTGCACTTTAAAACATCATTTAATATTTTAATTAATTACTTATACGATATTTTATTAGCAAAAATTAACGGACAGACCTAGAGAATCGACCAAGTTCAAAAGAATCAAAAATTAAACCGAGGACGTGTGGCAAACTTTATATGCAATTTGTTTTATTTTTATTGTTAATTTTTAATTTAATTTATTATTATTAATTTTTTAACAAAATATAGCATTCCATTTGTGTACATCTTATATTAAAAAAAAGCTTTGAAAGATAGTAAAACTCTGTTACTTCTTAGTAAATTATTAACCTATAAATATTATCCAAAAGGATGTTCAAGCAGGAAAGTTCAAGCAGTGCAGACACTTTCCGAATGGTGGCACAAATTTCTCATGTGGCAACTAGCAATGCATAGAGATGAAACTTTAGAGTAACATATGAGGCTTTATATGAGATATACACTACAGTATAAGAAAGTATGTTATTGTTTTTTGACGACGGTTTTTGCTTTATAGAATGATCGTATTTATCCTTATCGAAATTATCTGGTTAAAGAAATTCATAAGCCGAATAAGAATGGCCAGCTCCATCTTTTATCTAAATCCTATTAAATGCGCCTAACATGTTTTGGCCTAATTTGTCGATTCCTTTCAATTTTTAAGGAGTTTTATCTTAAAAGAATTTTAATAGCAATAATAGACACTTCCGAAATCCGTTGCGTTCGAACCTGAATCTCTTGTGAGACGGGAGAATTCAGTTTTCCGTTCGATTCAGTCTGACCGGAATTGGCAACAATATCCTGAAAGAGATTTTGACCAGTCTCGTAAATAAAAATCGTCTGAGAATCTGTGCATTGTGGAAGTAGTTGAATCACATCTATTTCTATCTCTTAAGCAATATGATTGGCCATTAGTTTTACTCGTTATAGAAGTGTCTGGTCCGTCTCTAAAAAATAAAACAACTTATTTAACTCATTCTAAAGTAAAATAATGCTTCACGAAATGCTTCATCGAATGTAATCATAACAAGTTTATGTGGCTGTTGGAGTGATTACATTTACGATAGATTTTTTTCCTTTTATGACAATACTTTATTAACAATGACAATCTTTTATTAAAAATTATTTCTAATTTAAATAAAAACATTTTTTTTTTCTTTTCTAATCTGTAGAAGTTAATAAGTAAATGAATACGTGCAGAATAATTTATAACTGTATTAGGTTAGAAAATCAAAGTTCTGTATCGAATTAATCAAGAGATATTTAAACTCAGGAGAATATTTTAATCAGGGTGATGTTTCTTTGAAATTTATACAAATATGCATCAAATTATCGTAGGCTTTTTTACTACTACTATTATTATTTAATCTAGAGCAGTATTTTCCGAATGAGACGTTACGATTCTTACGAATTTCTGATCGTAAGTTATTGTTTTCAGTTGGATTCTTGATTTTATTATTTTATTTATTATTTCATTATGTTTATTGGACTGAAAGTTCAACAAAAAACTACGACTGAAAAATGAAATAAAAGAATTTATAAACATTATATTTTAACGAAAGAAAATAATATTTTTTAATATAAAATTATTATTAACGACATATTATATGATATACAGGAATAAAGTAATTTAATTATTTTATTCCTTTATTAAAGTGAATTACTATTTACGAGTTTATTTATTACTCTTTATTTTAATTTAATTAATTTCATGTTTTGTGTGTTCTTAAAATATTCTATCAACTGCTTTTTACTAAAATTAAATATCTTAAATCAGAAAAGAAAAATTCAAATGAAATTATCGGAAATATAAAATAAGGTATCTTCAATTCATTATCTTATTCTTTAAATGTACTGTAATTAATTTTTGAAAGATTTTTGTTAAAGTTTAAATAAGTAAAGAAATTTCGCTAAATTGCCTAGACTATTCAAATATACCGTAAATTTGACAGTTGTCAGTAATAAATTTTAAAATTTGGCTTAATTAAAAAGGTTAATAATTACAATTCTATGTGCATTAGTGAAGATGAAGATGATTAGTGAAGTATACAAAATTATGATTGCAATTTTTTATTTTTTGAAAAATATTTTGTGTTATTCTTCAATATCTTCGTCTGAAGTTTCGTCTGGATTTTCTTCGTCAATTTCACCTTGACAAGTGTGAATTATCTTCCCGAGTAAACCCTGAAATTCATATAAAACTTATTTAAAATAATTTAAATGTATATTTATACTTATAAGCAAAAAATAAAGCTTGTAAATTTTTCCCGGATATTTTATTATAGATACGGGAAAAATTTAATTCATTAAACGTTAAAAATTTCACTATTGTGAATTCTTTTCACACTTTCGCATTTTCCGATAATGACGTCACTAATGACGCTTGGCCTTTTGCGTTTAAAGTGTGGAAGAGCTAAGTGTGATAGTGTGAAGGGCAAGGTGTACTTCCACCAGAAAAAGGAAACGCTAAGTATGGATAGGTCTTTCTGCTTTAGGTATTGAAAGAAGAAATCCCCTCTAGGCTGATTCGTTCTCACTTCTAAAGCACTGTACATAACTTTATGGCATTCTTTTTGTTGTTAATGATCTTTCTACCTATTCATTTAGGCATAAAAAGTCATTAATAAGCTTTAAAAGTTGAAAATTTAGTCGAGAAGGATATTTTTCGAAATTACAGTAATTTCTTCACAAAATGATTTCAGATCTGTAATAAAAATTTCTTAGATTGTTCCGAATTAAAATGCAGTAAAATGTACTTTTTCATCTTTTATAGCTTAAGAACCATTCAGAGGGAAAAAATAAAGACAAAAATAGAAAAAATTGCAGAGAAAAATTTTATGTATGTAAATCCTAAACGATCAATCTATATTGTTTTTATACCATACGATATTATATAAATGTTACTGATACAGATAAGTGACAAGATTATTGTTGTTTAGCAAATTATAAGAAGAGTTTAAGAAATTTTCTATATTTCGGCTGATTTAAATCATATTTATAATTTTAAAAATTTCAGAAGTTCAAATGTCTAAAACTTAAATAGAAAAGGCTTACACAGTGCATTACACTTCTATGATCAATTTTTCAAGTTGAAAGGAAGAAGAAAAAACGACGCCACATTCCATTATTATAAAAAATCTGCCGAGGGTATATTTAGTGAGGAATAAATCATAAGGAAACGTATAAAGTGTAGCTGAACGGAAGAATATAGTACAAGAAAGCTGTAAAGAACCTTTTCCGTGATAGTAGAGATGACAATATATATTATGTAACAATGGTTCTATTTGAGTCTTGAACTGTTCACCGAAATTTTGAACTTGTCACCTTTTGCAAATATATTATTACTTCTGCTTTTATTATAATTAATACTAATATAACATGAGTTACAATCCTATCTTGCAATAATTTATCATTATTTCTGCAACAATTTTTATCGGTTTGACTTCTCTCTACTTAGGAATACAATTAAAACTAATAATAATACATTAGTTTTAATATTTACATCAAATATACGTATTACCCGTCTTAATTTAAAATTATTGAATATTTACTTTTGTTGTTTTTTCTAATTGTATTCGTTACATGTTTTTAACTATTTCTATAATTGATTGTGACCGTTTCCTTAAAAATTCCAATGTTATTGCTTATTATTATCCATTAATTTTGTTCTCCTCCCAGACAACATTACGTAAGACGAAAGAGTAATCCTCTTCCTCTCAGATATTGTTTTCTGATTCATTCTTCTATAAAAAGATTCCTTTTTTTTTCAAAAAAGCATGTTACACTTTCATAAAACCAGAGTGTCAAAGTACAAACCTTTCAGAAATGAAGTTTCTCTGTTTTAAAGTTCCTATTGCAAAAAGAAAAAAGAATTTCGAAAAATTTTTAAATTTGTTTACGTGCCACAAACTTTAAATGAAATCGTTTTACACAAATTTCTATTGCAATGAAAGTCTAATGAAAATATTCTAAATTGCGCTTTCCATTATATACAGTACTACGTAATGGAATCAAAGCATAACGGTATCCATTGCATCTAAACGTTTCTGAATTGATCTTATGGTTTTCTTTGTTCTTTTGTCCCTTGCATAAAATGTTCTCATTTTCTTCTTTACAAACATATAAAATTCAAAAACCTTTCAGAAGTTTAGGAGAAAATGAGTTTAATGATTTTTTTAATAATATTTCTTACGTTTGGAAAATTTTTAGATTGTATTATAGAAATAATCTATTTAAACAAATTTTTATATTATAGAGTATAAATAAAAGGTTTCTAAAGCATCGCAAATAGGCAATTCATGTAATTATTTTAATACATACAACATACATCTATTGTTTAATGAAAACATATCCTTCGTCATAATATAAGAAATTCTACACAAGTGATGATGAACCTTTTTCTGAGACGGGTCAAAATTTATTAATTCCAAATCGTGGGTCAAATATATAATTTCAGTAATTATAAAATAACAAAAAGATACTTACAAATTTTACTTTAACTTTTTAATCTTTATCAGAAAAATAACAATAAATGCTATATAAGTGTAAAGATAATATTAATAATGATGTGACTATAACAGAAACAAATACTTCGTTTAATGGGAAATATCAATAATTCTATATCATAATATAATAAAAATAACTGAGATGTTAGGGGATAATTATTGCCATGAGCTTCCTTAAGGGTATAACATTATTTTTATTTATTTTACATTTTATTGAAATATTATTTTCTTTACAAAGAAGACGGATTTTATATTCTAAAAATATAAATTTCGGAACACTGAATCTATTTTTGACCTCGAAAAGTGTGTGTTTTGTATCCATAACATCCTCGTGTTTCCTTGTGTTTAAATTTTTTGATAATTAATATGCAGGTCGATTCAAAAAGGACTTTACAAGTTTGAAAGCATATAGAATTTTAATAAGAAGACACAGAATCACTTGAGGCGTTAAAGTTTTAATAGTAGAACAAGTTTATCTCGCATAGTTCAGTAATTGCATTGAATTGAGGAAGACGAAATAGTATTACTTTCAGTGACGAATCCATTTCATGTCAGTAGTAAAGTAAATAACCACAACTGCAAAATTTGGGACCTCGAAAATCCACAAGAAACTGTATAATATGTTTGTGACAGTCCAAAAGTGAATGTATTTTGTGCTTATAGCAAACATAAACTACGGCTCCTTTTTCCACGAGGGTATATACATTGTATCGTGTATCTGGATGTAGCTTACTGGAAAATTTCTCATTTCACAGTTAAACGGAAATGGCACAGAAGAGCGTTGCACACCAGAAAGACAACAAGACGGTGCAGCACCGCACTAACCTACTAATCCGGAATAAACGTTTTCCAGTCTCAGGTGGGTGGATTTGTTCCTTCGAGCAAGGCCGATACCATGGCAATCTCGGTCCCCAAATTTAACACCTCTAAATTTTTTCTTCTGGAATTTCATTAAAGATCTGGAGTTTATTCCATCTTTACTTGCAAATTTCAGAGCTCAAAATTTGTTTTACCGTCACATCACCGTTATTACTTCCAGTTTCGTAACTGAAGTAATAAAGGAAATGCTATTAGAGTTTCTCAAGAAATTGAACTTAGGTGGATATCTGCCGTATTACAAATGACTACATAAAAACCAAAATGACTGTTCGAGATAAAACTTGATGTGTTTTGCTGTAAATTAATGCATAAATTAATGCCTCATAGATTGTGAGCCAGCTGATTAACATTCTTTAAGCTTTTAAACTTGTAAAGTTTTTTCTCAACCAACCTGTAAATTAGATATGCATTTTACAACTTACTAACTTAGTGACACATTATCGTAGACTTTTTTCTTTAGACTTTATTCATGATATTTATTTAATGAAAAGTTTGCTTAAATTTGTTTATTTATTAAGCAAATTCATGCGTCGAGATGGCTATTGCATTATTATTGGTTAAATACACTGATTTCCATAAATTAAAGGACAAATGGAAAGATCGTGATAATTACAGCATCGATGTAGCGAATGCAAATGACTCGCGCTTGCATAGGTTTATGCAAATATACGAGCATAAAACCTGCTGTTTTCCAGTGAATCTCCTATTCATGCGCGGTAATGAAAGAAAGCATTTTGAGATTGCCATTTTGTTAAAATGACTTAGATATAATTTGCTAGTGAAATTACGTTACAGAGCTACAAGCAGACTTGAAGCAGGGCATTCAGGCAGACTTACAAGACGGTTGAACGTAAGTCATTCTGTAGTACGGGTGTGGAACCAGTCCAAACCACAGGATTATCTTCTCGAAGAGAAAGCCAAGGCAGGCTAGGGTAATGACGTCAGAAGACTGTTATTTGTGGCTGCCAGCCCACCAATGGCCAAGCGGTTCCGTTTCCTGAACACTGGTATTTCGGTCGTGGGTTCACGCACGCCAGGACGGCTGGCTACGTGGAATTAATGGAAAATGGCAAAGTTTTATCAAAATTGATCCATTAAATTTTGAGAACGAACTCAATTCTATAAGCCCATACAAGACGTGCTAGCGACCGTGAAACATCGTACGCGCTCATGAAACGACCTTATATCTCGAAAACGAAGTTATGAATCCCCATGTTTTATTGAATTTTTGAATTCTGCAAAGCAATTAATGAAAAATGGCAAAGTTTAATCAAAATCTATCGAAAGGATTTTGGGAACGAACACAATTCTGTAAGCCTCATAGAAGCTCCGCTTCAACTAATAAACAATCTATTAGTTTCGTAACTCCTGTACAGATATTCTTTGCTTGTTTAACGCGGGATTTGATTAACACGCGTAATTAATTGCGGCAATCCCTTTACATAGGCTACGCGGCAGAATTTTTAATTAACGCGGCTTTAGCAGCTGTCTTTACTTAACATAGACACTGTATTTGATTAATGCGATTTTGATATAAGCGGTAGCATCGAGAGATTAATATAACGATTAAATTTAGAAGATATGTAAATACAGTAAAATATCCCGTTCTTATGCTGTTTCAAAATAGATTTAAACTTAAGTCCTTGTCCTGTCTGCCGTTAGTATTTTACTGCTCAGAGGTAGACCGTAGCATAAATATATTTTTAAGTCAGAATCTACGATTAATTTGTAATACGGTTAATTCTATATTTTTAACACAGAACAATTAATTATTATGATGAATTTTGAGGCATATAACAAAGATTTTTAGTAAACTCTTACTGTTTACTAAACATCTTTGTTTAGTAAACAGTATTTTATTTTAAGTACAATAAATCATAAAAACGAGTATTTTATATTATATGATCGTCCTGTTAAAATTTAAAATATTTCAAAAATATTTTTTACAAATGTGACAAATTTAACGCATTCCGTATGAATTACAGTTGTCGTGAATAATGGATAAATTCTATAGAATTTCATAGTAAAAAGTTTATATGCTTGAAAATTCTACTTAAATTATATCTAAATATAATTTTAAATTAATAGATTTTGAGTTAAAAGCCTATTTAAAAGTTCTCGAATAGTTCAGAGTTTTATTAGTTATAAAAAATAATAAAATATTAATTTTTACATCAGACTATATTTAAAAGAATTTTTAATTATTAAAACAAGAATTTAATCAAAAAATCAAAATTAAAGAGTAATATTTTATCCCAATTTTATTACTTTCATTATAAAAATATTTAAAAAATAAAAACATTTTAATAATAAAAAATTAAATCTAATTAAATTAATTTTCTAACATTCTAAATTCACAAGAATCATTTTAAATAATAGCCTTTTTAATTTAGTGTTAACATTCTGAAATTTTTTATGATTTCTTTCCGTAATAACGAAATAAAATAAATTTTTTAATTTACGAATTAAGCTTTTAATTTCCTTATTAAAAATTAATATTTTAAATATTATGAGTAATAATAAAAATTTAAGAATATTGTTATTAAAGGTTATTACTTAGCAGGATTCTTTAATATTTTATCATGAAAATTATTTTAAAACATCATTTAAAACATTTTTAAAACATCAAACAGGATTTAAATGCCTTAATCAATTTATTTTATACAATTTATCATTATTATTATATAAAACTGTAGCCTACCTCATTTTTCTTTTTGCAATCTAAACCTTCGACACACGGACATTTGCCTATGTAAACGTCTTTATGCATTAGTTTAGTTAAACCTAATCCACTGCATTTTCCCCCTGAAATTTCATATATAATAAGAACAATATTATATGTTAATTCGATTACTTTCCAGAATGAGGACGTTTTATTATTGAAAAATAAAACCTTATTAAATTAACTTTATAATTGCATATTTTAATGAAAAAATTACTGACCTTTAGTACCTCTTTTGCGACAAAGGTTTAAAACATTTCCCATTTTCAAACAACACTCATCTTGTGCGCAATCTATTTGCTTAAAGCATGGCTTTGGAAGTGCCTGTAAAAGTAATACAATTTAATATAATTTCAACTATATATATTAGTCTTATATATTTTTAACCTCTGTAATTACGATGACCAAAGAAACTAATAAAATGTATTTAATCATTTTAATGCAATTTCAACCCCTAAAATTCTTCGTCACTTCTGTGAAGATATTGAAAGTAGTGTTTAAATTTATATCTCTCACTTTTATGTGCTGAAGTTCGTGAGAATGAGCAATTGTTCAAACGATAAGTTATCATTTTTTCGATAAAGTGACACGAATACCTTATTAATTTTTAATACAGAGAATAAGTATTAATGACAAAGTATTATTTTAATATTTATTTTTATTCGGTTCATACGAATAAAAATTGTAAATTAAATTTTTCTACGTTACGAAAATTATTTTTCATTTCATGAAAACATATGTTATAAATTACTATATGTTTTAAAGATCATCAATGCGGAATACGTATTACGTAAACTAAGCATTTTCGAATTTTATTTATAAGTGAAATTGGCATTTATCGAGCTAAGAACCATATCCGAAGAATGTGTTTAATTTTAAAATTCAGTTTAAATATATTTATCGAGTAATTTAATAGAATGTTTGTAAGAGTTGAAGTTAAGATGTTTGTTATGACAGAAAGATATTTCCCCGAAGCCATTCCACCAACTGAAGAGAACAACAATCCTACAAAATGTGTGGAGTATGTTGTAAGAAGAATTTAGAATGATACTGTATTTATACTGCTGACGGGAGGGAACATTGTTCCCTCCCGTCAGCAGTATAAATACTTAACTTTATATTAATTTCAACTTAAAAATCGCAATTTATATAAACTTATCTTTCATTGGCATAATTTTATTAATCTTCGAAAAATTTCAATTATTTGTATTTTAATGTCCTAAGAATTGTTTTTGAATTCTTAAAATTTGGTTGCTTATTGACGTATTTGAAATAAGATATGCGTACTTTGACTTAAATTCTGTAAAAAATTTTTGATAATAATATATATATAGGCCTAACTTTTTAAGCTGTTTTTAGATTGCTTTACAAATAAATACTGTTTTGAATTGGATTTTATTGTTATTAAACGTTTACTTTTTGAAAGAATCATCTTATTTCAAAGTTTTAATGATGATCTGTAGCTTTGATGTGTATCAAAGCTTCGGATCATCATTTTGAGTTTATTTTGAATTTTAAAATACGATCTTTATGGCTAATAATATCAAAACATATTTGGAATTAAAAGCAATCTTACTCGTTGTCTTTTTTTCTCACATAAAATAATTGTAACAATATAAAAAATGTATTTTTTGTTTCCAAAATTTATTTGTGATTGCATAGCATCACAAACAGACATTCAAAATATAACAGATCTATTCGTTTACAAGAATATACGAGAATAATAATCAAAATAATAATAATAATAATAATAATAATAGTCGGACTTCACGAAACACACCAAAACAGGAAATACACATTAGGCGAGGCATTCTTCAGAGAGATTAATTAAGTTCACTTTGGAAGGCTACACTCTTGTTTTGTCTGATCTTAAATCCACTGTTCGATAGGTTAAACAATACAAAATTCGAATACAACATCAAATACAACAAAACACAATACATATAACTCATCTCGTGTACATAGACAACATAAAACTCTGCGCATCCACATAAGCACAGGTAAATGACATTAGAAATTACACACACTGCACTGACATTCAAATGGAATTTGGCCTAGACGAGGGGTGGCGAACATATGGCACGTAAGGAGAAATCATCTGTCACGTAATGTATCACACGATTTCGATTTATCATCTGTTTTTCCAATCATCTTTTATGTTTATCACCTGATCACTGTTTTTTTAATCAGCTTTTTTACATTTATTCTAATTAAAGCACATTCGTTTAGTTTCTTTAAATATCGTTATTCGAAGTCTTAAACTTTGACACGTATAAACATCTTTAAAGCTAGGGATGTTTATTATATGGTACGCAGGTTCAAAAACTCGCCATTCCTCTCCTAGAAAAATGCAGAGTTGGATGCAAAACACACGTTTAGGGCAATCAACACATATGTCGTTCTACTACTAATCATTTTGATTATGTCAGTAGTGGAATGACATATGTGTTAACATTGAACAAAACACACTCGCAGAATCACTGTAGAACAACTCCAAAGGAAAACACAAACAACACTAAGAAAATGTAACAATTATCACATTAAATCCGCCAATTCTTCTTCACAGAAAGGCCGATTCTTCTTCGCACAGGAAAAAAAACAAGATCTCACAGATACGTACATTTTCACTACAAACAAATATAGAAACTGTGAGAATTTTTCAATAGAAAACAAGAAACTTCACAACTAAATCATCAAAACAACCTACAATTAAACTCAGACATCACTGATAACAGTTATATGAGGTACAGATATTATGACGCTATCTTGAGCCAGGAAGGAGCGCCACGGTAGACATTCCAATGATCTTAGCCAGGATTACATTGACAGAACTGCTTCAAACTGTTAGCCGACTCAGGGACATTTTTTTGGAGAGATAGAAAGATTCACGATTGTCATTACAAGACCAGGTGGTAAATACAAGAAATTACAGAAAGCGCATCTTAAACACACAATACTTACATTTGTAAAAATACTACATCATCACGGATTATACAGCGCATTACATCAGGTGCAAACTTGTAGCGCTAACAGACTACTTATGTCTGCATAACCAAATAGCAACTATAACACATATAATACACCAAAGCTTGCGCACAAAGACAAACGATTATACACCCAGAAACCATACTAAAAACACACTACAGAGGCCATTAGCAAATAACATACATCAAACACTACTACCGAGCCGTACTCACAGAGAAAAACAGTCTATCACAACAGACCAACCATCACATTCATTGACAAACAAAATAAAATCACGTACAGTACATCGTAGACGTAATTGTTCCAAACATCCATAACAAACAAAATACACAGAAATATATTAGTAAATACCTATAACTTGCACACGAAATAAAGCATCTATGGAAGATGGATAAGCTATTCATTTTGCCTTTAGTCTTTTTTCGCATAATCATTACATCACTGCACTATACAAACGTCTGGAAACATCAGTTCTTAATAATAACATATAAATCAGATTAAAGAAAGCTGCCATGCTTTCCATGCCACATAAGAAATTCTTAAATACAAATCCGAGCAGGATGCATATCACACACACACATACTATTATTTTATTGTGTGTGTTATTATATATGTTAGGCTCAAAGAATGAAAACGCTCATTGAGCGAGAAAAACATCTACAATGCGTTGTGGTCTCTTTAATCATCCACAACGCGAAATTCGCGTCATAGCACTTGTAAAAATAGCCACAATGCGTTGTGACTCTCAAAAATACCATAATGCCAAATTCGCGTCGTGGCCTTCATGATATTTGACCACTACGCGTGCGGTGATTAAGAAAAGCCATAACGCATTCTGAACGTTAGGTGATGCAACTACGATACGACGGACAGGTTGAAATCGGTTCGAATGTTTTAGTTAGGATGTCTGATGTTGAGAGGGGATGTGCAGCTCCTAGAGACGTTTTAGTGTTGTTATGAGCATTAATCCATCAAGTCTCTATTAGTTAGGAAACAAACAAGGTCTTCTTGATCGACTTTATTCTCGTAATGAATTTACAATTTCTGAGAGTAACTTTATTAACATTCAGGACGTACCCTCAACTTCCTTAACACTTCGCTCAGCATTCATGTTAACATCTGGAAGTAAGAAAAGGTTTATAATTTCTCACTGTAAAAGATACTGTATTGATAAAAATTGCAAATGTTGCTCAAAGAACATAAAATGCAACTCGAAATGTCTCGGTAATAGTTCTTGTAAAAGTAAATAACTCTGCAACATTCTTGATTCCCATAAAAAAGACTGATTTATTAATAAAAGTTCCTGACAAAGTAATTATTTTTAGTAAATTAGTTGTTTGAAAATGTTGACATCTCGAGCACCGCAACAGATTTTCACGAATACAGGCATACCTCGACTTACGTCGTTTCGAGTTACGTCGTTCCCGATTATACGTCGCTTGTTAAAAAAGTATATGGAAAAATAAAAATCAAGTTTAAGTCATTTTATTCGACTTTACGTCTGTCCGTCACAAATATTGAAGTCGTAATATCACTAGATAAACGTTTAAAGCACATAAAATCATATTAAAATATATACAAGTATGTACTGTATTTACAGTACACGCATTCGTAAATTTAGATTATTTTTTTTTTGTACTATATTAAAAACTAAAATTTATTTGTTTGTAAGCTTAAAATAGATTTTTATTAACCATATATTATTTAAAATGCTTTCCTAGTGATAAGTAGATTCGGAGACAGGTAAATTCGACTTACGTCGTTTTTCGACTTACGTCGTTTTCCTGGAACCAATTACCGACGTAAGGCGAGGTATACCTGTACATTACATGTTGAAAAGTAACCAAGTTACATTTTTGTAAGTGGTGAATAATTTTGTTACCTACTTATATGAGCACCTACAAGCGTTATGGCTTTTCTTAATCAACTCGTAGTGATCAAATATCATAAAAGCCACGACGCGAATTTGGCTTTGTGGTCTTTTTGAGTTAGTCACAACGCGTTGTGGCTGTTTTTACAAGCGTTTTCGTTCTTTGAGTCTAACATATATAATAATAATGAAATAAGATGATGGCTGCCCTTATTTATTTTTTTTTACTACATCAATGATTGTATAAATAAATCTATTGCATTTATATAATTTAGTACAGAATTTGAAGCTCTATCTTCTCTGCAAAGTGTCAACTTAGTTAACAGAATCGTTACGAGGCAATTTATAATTTATCAAAAAATAGCTCCAAGTGGCTATAATAGTGGATCATGGCTTTAAGATGGACAGGCAATATGTTAATTCAGTGATGGTCACATTTAACAACGTTTTAAGTTATGAAATGCCGTCTATTTTCTCTTTTCTGTCGCTTCATGTTTTGCTTTCTATTTTATTGTGTTTCGGGATAATTGTGTTACCATTTCAGCTTGCAAAAAATGCGGATCTTAAGGACTTCTGTTATAAAGCAGAGAACGTATTATGAGTGATCATTATCGTTATATAGGATCGTGCAAATAAAAATTGAATATCC